AACACACACACACACACACACACACACACACACATATATATATATATATATATATTCGTATATATATATATATATATGCAAACTCATCAATACCACACCTGAGCACGATTGGGTCGTATATTAATCTTATACGCAAACGCTCTGTCGCTGAAGTCAATGCCCATGCGGTTACCAAAGGCCAAATCACGCAGCCACTGAGGCACTTTCTGCACGTCCGCACCCAATTTCTCGGCCAAATCTCTGACGCGTACGTTATAGGATGCACCCGAGAGATTCAGCTGTAGCATTGGGGTGGGATGGAGGAGAATGGCTACATAAAGTACTGGTATATTATAGGTGTCGAATATAGTATATGTAGAATATTTATAATATAGTATATGTAGTATATGTATAATATAGTATATGTAGTATATGTACAATATAGTATATGTAGTATATGTTAGTACAGTATGTATAGTATATGTACAATACAGTATATGTAGTATATGTACAATACAGTATATGTAGTATATGTACAGTATAGTATATGTAGTATATGTATAATATAGTATATGTATAGTACAGTATATGTATAGTACAGTATGAATAATATATGTAAAATGCAGTATATGTAGTATATGTACAACACAGTATATGTAGTATATGTATATTATAGTATATGTAGTATATGTACAATAAAGTATATGTAGTATATGTATAATGTGTATCATGTATACTTACGGATCTATTCCTTCTCATATCTTTTTAGAAATAACACCCAACGGCACATATACGAGCATTGCAGAATCATGTGTATGTTCGCATCCTATACCCGTCTACAATATATCTACGTATCCACACCATCGCAGCATTGACCAATAAATTCTGTGTATCTACCTCCACTAACTGATCGTTGGTACTTCTCGGAGCGTACATCATATACACATCCACATTCTCTGTAAATGCTAGCATGCATACTATACATTCATACACTGCAAATACTAGTGTTTGATACGTATTCATATAACTACTCGTATACTCAATATCCACAATAACCATACCGAGCCTACGCTCAACACCGCTTTAGCAAACATATTCGTTGTTGCCACCTCCTCTAACTGTGCTTTCGACACTCTCAGCGTACAGATGCAGTTCATCTGCGGCAGCACTGAGATGAATTTATGCGAGTGCATCTCCTGAGAGTACAGAGATTGTTGGTAACGGCAAGATGGGTGAGCATTCATATCACTTGAACGTTTATAGTTTGATGATAAAATCTTTCATAACTTTTCACAGGCACACAACCAAACGCAAATTAACATGCACACAGATAAATATACAAAAACTGAAACATGGGACACACACACACACACAGATACACGACCACACAATCACAAACAGAGACAAAGGGCCGACCCCGTAATCACACACACAGACAAACTCACCCACATACACACACTCGTGCTACAACAGAGCAGAGACATGAACAACGACTAACCCTCCCAGCTGCTAGCCTCACAGCACTGTGAGTTCGTGAGCACACACCAATTTGCACAGCAGCGTGAACAGAGCGGTTTCTCGCATGTCGTACTTCTGTTCCAGATCATCAATCGATAGCAAGCCTACGGTACCCGCATCAGCGCTGGCCTCGTCCAACGAGAATACCTGGAAGTTAAACAGAACCAATCAGGATGCGTGAGAGAGCGTGATGGGCGGTACATCTATTTTTGGAAATCCCGAGAATACTGTATTGTGTCATGCAATCTGGTACAAAGTGTGTCAAAATGCACACCACATCGTTTTGCGGCACCGCTTCCGAAGACTCCCATACGTATGTATACTATTATATGTATATTATACATATAATATAGTACTAATTCCATACATATGTATATATTATATGTATACTATACATAGAATATAATATTACTCCCGTACATATATGTGAAAATGTATATTATATGTATATTATATGCATACAATACATTTAATGTAATATCACTCCCATACATATGTACATTGTATGTATAGTATACATATAACATAATATTACTCCCTTACATATGTATATTGTATGTATATTATACACATAATATAATATTACTCCTATACATGTATATATTATATGTATATCACAAATATAATAAACTATACATATTAATATATGTAGGTACACAGCAGTCAACCACGCACATACTTATATCTGCTTGCACGTGTACACTATACCTATCTGTGACTGATATATCTGCATCTCGCTATACAAAGTTATATGTACGTGCAGTTGTACGTACGTGCACACATGTACATAAACAATGTATATATACGCATGCCCACATTTAACACACACCTCTGTGATGAATCGAAGGAGTGTATTGGAGTCCACCGTGTCGGCGTGTGCTCTGCTCCGCAGCCACCAAATGTCTGTAAATGGGCCGTGCAATAGATTTAAATAGTAACAACTAACCACATGGCCACTACTGACGTTGGAAAGCATTCATGTGAAACCGATGGGAGATACCGAGTAACCACGGTGAAAAAGATGCACGTGACGATGATAGGCAACAAATCATTGAGGTGGTGAGCGGAGGTGCAAAGGTGATAGGAAATCAACAAGCAGTGCGACTCTGCCTTAATGCGAGAGTGATTATTGGATGTCCAATACGCATTTAAACCACATTGATGAAATAAAAATACAAAATCCTCTTCGCACATTATATATATATATATATATAGTGCTGCGGGCATAACGACATACCACTCTTGGACAGAAGCATGTGGCAGTATGATGCCGCGCCGTCGCGACCCGCCCGCCCGACCTCCTGGACATAGTTTTCAATACTCTTAGGCATGTTGTAGTGGATCACCCCTGTGTGGTTGAAAGGAGCAAACTTGGTTTGAAATTGATTAATTGATTGCTTCGTGAAGATTGATGGATTGTCATTCTGTCGTATTTTCCGATTGCATAGCCTCATATAAGCCTCTAAATCACAGCTCTATTACGAATACCCACCGCACTACGGTAGCAATCTGGCAAGCAAGATCTCTATCTACTACTCTAAACGCCAGACTCCTATAACATCATCGACGAATTCGAATACATGCACACAATCGAGAAGGTCATAAACACACACCTCGGATGTTGGGTTTGTCCAGGCCCATGCCGAATGCTATAGTACAACAGATGATCCGCAACTTATCGCTCATGAACTTGAACTGTACTCGTTTCCGTTCCTGATCACAAGAATTAAAGAATGAGAGGAATATGCTACATACTGGCGGGTGTGGTAGATGATAAGGGAATTAAAAAATGAGAGGAATATACTACATACTGGCGGGTGTGGTAGATGATAAGGGAATTAAAGAATGAGAGGAATATGCTACATACTGGCAGGTGTGGTAGATGCCTATGGGTCTCTGAGACCATCTGTATAACTCCACATGATAGAAGTGAGTATATAAAAACACACACTACCATCTAATTCACACATGTATGTAGTTATATTCTATATCATTTCTGTACATACTGCTACCATAATCGGCATGGTACAAACCTGCCTCCAATCCCAAAATTCGGACAATACTGGATATTTATATGAGTGCATGACACCATTCGCTATAAGTCTACAATATAATACTAAATATATATACAAACGCGCTCTGACACAACATATTCCGTCAGATGCACATACACTCGCAGCTGATATACCTGCACTTGCCAATGCCCACACTCGACTAAAAA